CAACTCATGGGATCCTCTAATAATACATTTAATATCTCGTTTATTAGATGCTGATACACGTGAAGCATGGGAAATTAAACTAGGACCGTCGACTTCGTATCCCACTTGGAAAGAATTCGAAGAGTTTGTAACCGGTCACTCTAGAGCGTGGGAAAGTCTAGCTTCCGCATCCAGTCAGCCTATGAAGGAAAAGGGGCGTTTATCATATTCTAAAGGCAAGCCGGACGCCAAAGCACGCAGTTTGGTAGCTATAGCACCATCCTCTAAAGGCAGTGTAGAATGTCCCGTATGCAAATCATCTCACTTTTTGTCCAATTGCCCGAAATATTTGTCTCAGCCTCTCGAACGGCGCAAACGCACAGCTATAAAGTTAGATTTATGCTTCAATTGTTTAGGAAAGCATTTCATCAGTCGTTGCCAAAGTACTCGTCGCTGTAAAAAATGCGGCAATAGACATCATACTACTTTACATGATAACACAAAATCTTCAGAGAAACACACGAGTAAAACTAATTCAAACACTTTACTTGATAGCTCATCATCATTAGCGTCTAACGCGGAATCAAAATGACTAGAAGCCTCGCCCAGTGACCAGATCGAACGCGTTGTTAGTCAGAAGCCAATCACTTTACTCGCTACGTGCCAAGTCCAAATAGGAACATGTGACGGTGACTTTGTGATCGCCCGAGCGCTTTTAGATCCTGGATCGGAATTGTCGTTCATCACTGAGAATCTAGTACATCGGTTAAGACTTACGCGAAAGGCCGCTTCCATTCCGTTACTGGGCATTGGCGGAACTTATTCTGGACGCACCAAAGGTTTCGTAGATATTGTACTTCATTCATTGCTAGACACTGCTGATTCCTACGCCTTACAAGCCTTCATTCTTCCGCGATTAACTTTTGAGATACCTTCTTCCAGTGTAACTAGTACATCTTGGACACATTTAAAGGATTTACCACTTGCAGATCCTCACTTTAGTAAACCTGGACTAATCCATATTATTATTGGCGCAGATCACTACGGCCAGATCATTAAGCCTGAGTTGAGAAAGGGGGAACCGTCCTCGCCTATTGCACAGTTAACACTATTCGGTTGGATAGTGTACGGCCCAGTCGCCCCTGGCATTAGTGAAAGAGGAAGTTATCATTGTCATGTTGATCGCGATTTACAGAATCTTCTAACTTGTTTTTGGAAACAAGAAGATATCCCAAAGACGGTTGAAAAGTTTTTGAATAGCGATGAGGCAGATTGTGAAGCGCATTTTCGCTCTACCGTTTCGCGGGATTCGAGCGGTCGATACATAGTGCGACTTCCACTAAAGTCGCCGGCCACCTTGTTAGGGGACTCGACTGCCATAGCTTTTCGTTGTTTATCGCGGTTACTTAAACGGCTCGAAAGAGAACCGTCCTACAGTAAATTATATACGGAATTCTTACATGAATATCAGACGCTAGGACATATGATCTCAGTACCGGAGTCCGAAGTCGACGCTTCTCCTGTTTTTTATTTACCTCACCATGGAGTCATGCGCGAAAATAGTCAAACGACTAAGCTTAGAGTCGTTTTTAACGGATCGAGTCCTACTAGCAATGGCCTTTCATTGAACGACATCTTGCATACAGGGGCGAAATTACAAACGAACATTTTTGATGTGCTACTTCGGTTTCGTTCTCACCAGTATGTCTTTTCTTCGGATATTACGAAAATGTATCGAAATATACTGGTGCATGCAGACGATCAGAACCTACAGCGCATTTTATGGCATGATTCGAATGGCAAGTTACGCTCATATAAGTTAACCACGGTAACTTACGGATTGAATTGCGCTCCATTTCTTGCTCTTCGCGTCATTCAACAGCTGATTGATGACGAGGGTCATCGATTTCCTAAGGCTATCCCCTCACTATCAAGAGAAAGATACGTTGATGATATCTTTGGTGGAGCTGATTCCTTAGACGAAATTCAGGAAGTTATGACGCAAGTACATCAACTCTGTATGGCGGGCGGTTTTCCGTTACAAAAGTGGAGTAGCAACTGTCCGAGCTTATTAGATCATTTGTCGTCGTCTCAGAGTGTCCATACGGCTGCCGTTGAATTGGAATCTTCTGGCATTAAGATATTAGGCCTTTCTTGGCAACCGAAAACTGACGACTTTCGATTCACTTCTTTGCCGCCTACTGCCCGAAATGTTACAAAAAGATCCGTGTTATCTGAAATCGCACAACTTTACGATCCCTTAGGACTAATCGCGCCCGTTGTCGTTCGCGCTAAAATCTTCATTCAGGAGCTGTGGTTAGCCAAAGTCGATTGGGACACCCCTCTATCGCTTGAATTACAGCATCGATGGATTAAGTACAAGCAACAGTTACCCGAATTGGTTAGTTTAAATATTCCGCGATGGCTTCACATTTCATCGATAACACGTTCTATTCAGCTGCACGGCTTCTCTGACGCCTCGCAACTAGCAATGGCTGCGGTAGTCTTCCTTAGAGTCGAAACGGAAAATTCCGAAATTCAGATTAGTATCGTTTGTGCAAGGACAAAGGTAGCGCCGTTGAAGAAGCTTACTGTTCCTCGACTTGAGTTAAACGCCGCTTTATTGTTATCGCGTCTGATATCAAGCGTACAAAGCATCCTGGAACTGTCAGACAGTTCAATCTTTCTTTGGACGGATTCTTCTGTCACTCTCACATGGATTTCCTCGCATCCCGCCAAATGGAAGGAATACGTTCGTAACCGAGTCACAGCCATTAAAGATAAAGTACCCTCTGCTTCTTGGGGTTTCGTACCCGGCAAGGAGAATCCGGCTGATTGTGCTTCGAGAGGCTTGAATGTTAATGAAATTAAACAACATCCTTTATGGTGGCACGGACCTTCGTGGTTACGCGAGGCGCCTGTCCAATGGCCTAGATTAACGCCTACTTCTACCACCGAGATAGACATGGAAGAAAGCTCCGGATACGTCTTTACTTCTGTTCGAGATCAAGAGATACCTTCTTGGGATCTCTTGGAGCGCTACTCTTCACTGACGAAGCTCATACGGGTTACGGCAATTTGCCTACGCGCAGTTCGACGTTTTAAGCAATTACCAGCCGAGTCATCCACAGAGCATCTCTCTCCTCTTGAACTTCAGGAGAGTTGTCACTTTTGGATTCGCAAGATACAACAATTTCATTTTCAACAGGAGATGGGAATACTGTCAAGAAGAGGTCGCCTATCTAAATCAAGTCATTTGATTAAGCTGACACCATTCATAGACAAGTCTGGAATAATGAGAGTGGGCGGTCGGCTCCAGCAAGCCGGTTTGGAACACGATACTACACATCCGATCATCTTGCCAAGACGGTCTCCGTTGACAACATTAATAATTGCTGATGCTCATTTTCAAACTTTGCATGGCGGGACTCAATTGACGCTAGCATACACTCGACAAAG